TTTATCAAGTACAGTATTTATAAAATATGATTTAAATTTTTTATACTAAAAAGTATCTGATTATTAACACATGTTCACATGTAAAAGCAATGTTTTTATTAAATGATGTTACAAATCAAAATGTGTCTGCAACAAAATTAACAAACGTTCATATTCTAAACACTATACAAATATAAGAAAATAAAAATGCTAGTAAACACCCTTAATAACTTGTATATTGGATACTAAAGGGAGTAAAAATGTATTTTATGTGAGAAAGTAAGAAAATGGAAAGCGAATGACAAATCTAAACTAACGATAAAATTTCATGCCACATAATTTCAACAACAGAAAGTACAATAATTTTGCCATCTTCCTTAAATCATGGCTAACCTTTGCCGTCGAGAGACGACGGCTTGAGGCCAACGCTTTCCACCTTGGCCTGAATCTTAGTATGTACGTTCTCTGCACCCTCCTTCATTTTAGCCAATATACCTACAGAAAGAAATTGGCTTTAGATGATATCAAAAATCATTTCCAACACGAATCTTCTAATGACTACAGCTGAAGTGTGGATTAAATGCACTATGAAACCTCCAATGAATATTACATGAACTAAACATTCCAAGAGAACATATTTAGGCCACATATGTGAACCAATGTACTTAAGACAAAATAAATACTAGGCATTAGATCAGTTATAAATACAAAGCACAGTTTTACAATCAAGTATCTCCTTTAAACCCATTTGATGAATAAATATGAGTATGAAAATTTTTAATTGATCAAGAGTTTTAATGTAGGTATTAAAAATTTAAATAGAATGATATATTGGAACTATACTTGAAACAAATTTGTTTCAGTGCTAGAAACAACTCTTGCTAGTATTGCAAGAGTATACATCAATTTGCCTACATGGGTGGACATGCAACCATAAAAGAAAAATTTTGATATGCACGAACATTATGTTAAATAATTTGGACTAAACATAGTATAGAAAATAAAATCAATGATCCTATATGACAATCTTGCTAAATTTTTATAAAATATGCGAAAAAATCACACACAATCTACAATTTGCAAAATGAAACAGTAACAAAGCACAATACCGTGACGATCCTTCTCCTTTAAAATTCGTTCAACGTCTCCTGCCTTATCCTTGACGCGACCGAAAAAGTCTATAAAGTGGCATGTTAGTGTAAGTTGTTTTATTAATATATGTATAAATTTATATACATATATATTGACTAAATGATTAAGATCAATATTAATATTTATGAGAAAAAGAAAAACTGAAAGAATTTTTACCTGCAATTTTTTTATGAGCATCTGGACTGGCAGACTGAGTAAGTGCTGCAACCTTCTGATACTCGGAGGCTGAAATTAAACCCTGTGCTTCCAAAGAACGTGGTGACATTGCTCCATATTCATCACTCAGTAGCTGTACTATATAAACAAAAACAATTTAAATTTCCTAAATATTTTTATATAAATATCAATGTTTTACATGTATTAAAGAGAATAAAAAAACATACCTATCAAAGCTTCTATGTCAAAAAATAAAATATGACTTTCTGGGTCCTTAGGATTACTTCTGAAGCCGTTAATCATTAAGGGTGTGCCTTTTGCTTTTATTTGATTTCCATGATCAACCCCTTGACCACCATGGAGTTGTTGCAGTTGGTGTAACCCTCTTTGTGTTGCATGTCTTATAGCAGAAAGATTTCTGTGTCTCAACCCTCTGAAGAAACAAAATATCCCAAATATAACAAAGAAATTATTTTTTGCAATCTTCTCCCTAAAATTCACTCAAGGTTCTCACCATCCACGTTGCAAGATTTCATTTACCTAAAGAAATGTACAGCTGGATTAGCTAAGCCTAGTTCACCACCCGCGGCTGTCCCACCAGCCGCAGCCATTGTATTTTCGTCACAGGCGAAGAGTACTTCTTCTGCAATAATACCTACAAGAATTTTTATTACAACTTTACAAACTTTAATTTTAATGTATTAAATGTTAAACGATATATTAGTTGTTAAAGAATCATAATAAAATTATAGTATTGCAATACTTAATTTTATAAAAATCATTTTAAACAGAAAGGTATAGAAATTGGAATCTGATATATACCGTGCAATACGCGATCTAAGTGACCCGTTTCCATTTGCCATACGTATACTGCTCCGTCTGAACATCCAACTATCATAAAATCGTCCAGTGGCCTCCACTTTATCGTAACAACTGGAAACAAGTGTCGCGAAGCGAGAACAACACATTTTCTTTCGGCTAACGATAGTAAAGTAACACTATGATCAGATGCAACGCTGCAAACACACTTCTGTATTCTAAGCTAAAAAAGCAATGGGATTATTATTATTATTATATAAAAATCAAACACTGTAGAACTACAATGAATAACTTGTAAGACAACTGCTATGATATATTATTCACTAATACAATATTTATAAAGAGAATTGAACATACACTGCAGTTATCAGGTGGTACCATCAGTTGCGTAATTTCACCTGCATGAACACAAAATCTATGAATAAGTGTACCAGCATAAAGATCCCATAAGCATACAGCAAAATCAACTGATCCAGAAACAAGGTGTGCCCGATCATAACGTGAAGCTGCTCCATGAGGATATAAAAGGCAATTTACTCGACCAGAGTGACCTAGAAGTACTTGATGAGGAGGCCAATCTATAAAGCAAATAATAACATAAAGAAAAAGTTATATAATCGTAAATTTTGGGTTAAAGGAGTTTATGTAAATATAATTACAAATGTTTAAATTAATGAAAAAAATTATATTAATAAAACAAAATACTACTGGGGAAAGATTACTTTTGAACAAATAAATTTATTATTGTACCATCATATTGCTGATGATTGCCATGAAGTAACTGAAGCATGACTGTTTGTGTTGCAGGAACAATGATAATACTGCCATCTTCACGACCAACAACTAAACGACTTTGTTGCGGTAAATATATACTAGCTGTTAATTTTATAGCATGTCCATCTCCACTGTCTAATTGATCTAATATTCCAACTGGTGGTGGTTTCATTTCTTCCCAAGCAGTTGTAAGACTCGTTTTAACTATTGGTGGTAATGAAAGTGGAGTTGAGCAATCATTTTGACAGATTTGAGTTAGTTGGTGATTTGTTACTTCTGGAACTGTCCAAATAACAACAACTCCTTCGCTATCACCACGTAATAGATACTTCAATGTTTTACTTTGTTTTTGAACTGTAACTAATCGCATTGCTGGTGGACATGATAGCGGCTGAAACGAAGAAAAAAGAATAACTAATAATTTTGTATTGTACAATTTCTAAAAAATTAATTTTAATAAAGAATAATTTTAAACTTACCTTGTCTCCGGGTTGCGTCAGAGTGTAGTACAGGTAAGGTTGATCATATTCGACACCAGCAGTATGAAAATTTTTATTGTCTGCAACGCTACTATATAATAAAAATATACAAGAATATATTGCTTAATTATTTTAAACAACTTTCTTTAAAATAATACTATTTGTAAACAGTAATTCATAATACATTTTGATACACTCTAATAAAGTGCAAAATATGAAATTAAGAATGCTTTATAATCCATAAATGGTAAATATCATGTTTCTTGTATTTATTAATTATAATAGTTTGAGTTATATTGCTTAGTTTATTATGACACACATTAGAAAGTAATAAAGCACTTCATAATTCCTTTACATTAGTTACATAGCTGTATTAGTTATACAATAACTTATTAAGATAAACGCAAAAAAAAAATGATCCTAATACATAAATTTATTTGAATAATAAATGCAACTAAACAATACAGCATGGCTTACTAAAACTACATAAGCTGGCATAGCACTACTATTCTTTATTGATATCATTATTTTTAGAATTTACTGAATTTATGACAGTGAAATATATGGAAAAGTGACACATGTAAAGCAACTTATAATAGATAAAACATGAAAACATAAGATGTGAAATGCAGATAGATATAATATAGCTGCACAATATTTTTGTGTAATACGTTTTTGCTTAGTGTAATTTTAATATAACAAATTAAAAAAATAAAATAGTACAAAATACAAGATCTTGCCAAAAAAATAATTAGATATAGATTATTTGTAGTTATATAGTACAATAATACCTATGGTAATATGATAATAAATTATAGGAAATGTTGATCTTGATATAGAAAGACATACGAAAATTCATGTCATACACTTTTAATTTGAAATTATAAAATGAAAGATGAATATTT